GAGAGAGAGAGAGATGAGTGAGAGATAGGGACGAGAAGAGAGGGAGAAGAGAGGGAGAGGAGTGAGAGAGGGACGGGATACAGGCGAGGGAGACCGGCCGAGGGAGGGAGGGAGAGGAGCGGAAGGATGGAGGGAGGGAGAGAGAGAGAGAGAAGAGATAGAGAGAGGATGAGAGAGAGATGAGAGAGAGACGAGAGAGAGAGAGGAAGAGAGATCCTGAGAGAGAATGAGAGAGATGAGGATACATGCCAGCCGCAGAGCACAGCTGCGCGTAGCGAGGAACAAACAGAGATCACATCCTCCCCTCCCTTCCCCTCCCCCCGCGGCGCCGCCATCGACGCGCGATCAGCGCCACCTACGTCACGGCGGCATCGACGTCTATTCAGCTCTGTGCTCCAGTCACCGTCGGCCGACCCCACGCAGCCGCGCAGAAACACCTAGGCATAAGGGCCGTTCAGCGACAGCCGCTCAAACCGGAGAATTGCCGCTGCACGCGCTTACGCTGCAGCCGTTCGTGAAGTTGCGCTTGAACGTCGGACTTATCTGAGGCAAATCAAACGAGAAAAATTACTCCTCCGAAACTCCATCCGAGCGCAGAAAGAGAAAAAGAAAGAGAAAGAGAAAGAGAGAGAGAGAGAAGAGAGAGAGAATAACAACACCCCAACTTTTTTTCGCTCTGCGAAAATCGAAGAGAAAAAATACACCTCCAAAACTCGCAGTAGAGCCACGGTGCCACGCTGTGCTCTGTATCTGAGCGGACGCAGAGTGCCACGCGTCGCAGTGATCACCGTAATGCGGCCGCTAGAGATCAGCATCTACGATGCGCATATGCCACCCAACGCCTGCCACGCAGTAAATGTGCGGGCTAGAGGTCGATGCGACTCAGCATCGAGCTATCCCACCCCCATGCACTGCGCACACGGGGACCCGAGTGATAGATGATAGGGGATGAGAGCGCCTCCACAGAATGTAACTTTAGCTAGCAGACGCGAAGCAGAGAGAGATGGAGAGAAAGAGAAGAGGGAGGTTGAGGGAGGAGGCGAGGGGAGGAAGAGAAGCAGAGGAGAGGACGAAGAGAGAGAACGAGAGAGAGATGAAGAGGAGGAGAGGAAGAGACGATAGAGAGATGGAGAGAAGACAGCGAGAGAGAGGAGAGAGCAAGGGAGAGAGAGAGAGAGAGAGAGGAGCAGAAGAGAGAGAGAGAGAGAGACGAGACGAAGAAGAAGAGAAGAGAGGACGCGAGAAGGAGACAGAGATGAAGAGAGAGAGAGAGAGGGAGGTGAGAGATGAGGAGACGAGAGAGAGAGAGAAGACGAACAGAGGAGAGGAGAGAGAGAGAGAGAGAGAGAAGAGAGTAGAGATGAGCAGAGAGATGAGAGAGAGAGCAGAGAGAGAGCAGAGAGAGAAGAGACGAGAGAGAGACGAGAGAGAGAAGTAGAAGAGAGAGATTCTCTCTCTCTCCTCTTCCTTTTATTCTCCCTCTCTCTTTTTGTTTATCTCCCTCTCCCTCTCTCACCCTCTCCCTCTTCCTCGCCCTCTCTCTCTCATTACGTTTGCATCTGCTCTTTGCGCATGGGCGGTGGGATACTCGATGCTGAGCGCACCCTCCCGCACGTTACCGTGGCGCGTTGGGTGCTATGCGCATCGTAGATCGATCTCTAGCGGGCGGATTACGGTGATCACGCGACGTGGCACTCTGCCGTCCGCCAGATACAGAGACGCGTCCGTCTCATACGAGTGCCTAGCGATGCGGTGATGGTAAATATGTGGTGTCTCGCGGTAAGAATACCTTTGAGGCGGTGGAGGAATGCACGATGATCGTGAGTGGCTGTAGCGCTCGATGATCGTGGGTGGCTGTAGCGCGCGCTTTACGCATGTGCGAACGCGAACAATTTGGCGGTGCGTGGAAAGCGGCTGTCGGCGCGACCAGAGGCCCTCGTTAAGGTGACTTCGACGGCTGCAGGATGCGAAAACATTAGTCTAGGTGGATAACTCGTTATGGTCGTTACAGGGCAACGACCTTCAGGGAGTGAAGGCATACTGGTCGGTCGACCTTGAGGGACTGTACACGCTGGGCACGGTCGTCGTCGATTACCGTGGTTACCGCGTCACAGCGCAGTCGATCATCCCCGGCATCCTCGAGCGCGAGCAGGAGCAGTCGGTCGTCTACGGCTCGATCGACTTCGGCAAGACGGTGGTCGCCAGCGAGAAATACGTGCAGCTGGTACGTACGTGCGTTGTTGCTGATGCTGACGCGAAACTCTATCAGTTCCGCATGTTCCAAGGATCGCACGGATCCTGCGCGTTTGATTTGGGTTGATCACTTGGACGAGAGCGAGAGGGAGAGATTACAAATTTCGTACACCAGTTAGACGCGAACTGGCCCAGTTACATTTGGAGTGGATCTAATATGGCGGCGCGCTACTCGGCGAATCGCTGCTTGTTGTTAGTTATAAACCGTCTTGTGATAGGTCACAGGGATGGGTGGTCCGTTTTTGCATTTGTTTGGGCAGGTCGGGATCAAGTAAAGGCAGTTAGAGTTAGTCGATACAGGCCATTGGTTCCACGTAAGGGTTTTGTGATGCTATTGTGGTTGATGTCGCATTGTGTGTAGGAGTCGGAGTGATCATGAACATAAAGCATTCGGATGACTTCTTGTTTTGCAGTTGTCCAAAACGGCGAAGCAGTTGAAGATCAAGCCTCACAAGTGAGTGTACACGTGCACGAGCGTACCACCGTTCGTCACGATTGCAGGAGGCACATGCGGTTATTGTGCTAACGGCAGGGTGGGAGTGTAGCTGTACAGTACAGAGACTACAGTGTGGGTCTCTGTGGTGTCTTACCCATCACTCATGTAATACTAGACAGAGGGCACTCACGGAGAGTGCATACCTCCGCCAGCATGTAACATGTATGTGTTACGAGCTGGCTCGCTGTGCTGGCTGGCTGGCTCGCTGACTCAACGCGCTAATATCGATCGCGCGAACACACAAACACACTAACACACAAGAGCGATCACATAACCTCCTCTAACTCCGTTGGGCAGCGGTAATAACACGTGTATCAATGCTGGCAGTGTGTACAGCATACAGTGTGTGACTCGATGGTGACTTACCTACAGTGTAGTAACGTTAGTAATGTATCTCCTGGCAGGGTTCTCAACGAGAAGGGTGAGGAGGTGCTGCTCTGCTCATCCATCGAGTGTAAGGGCATCGTCGGCAACGACCAGCGATACTACATCCTAGACCTGCTGCGCACCTTCCCCCCAGACGTCAACTATCTACCCGGTGAGCTTCCTTCCTTCCTCCGCTCACTCAGCTTCCTTTTTCAATCTCAGCTTTCTTCTCTGTTCCCTCGGCTTCCTTCTTTGATTCTTTCGGCTTCCTTCTCTGATTCCTTGGCGTTCTTCTTTGTTCCCTCGGCTTCCTTTTTCAATCTCGCCTTCCTTCAATTCTTTTGGCTTCCTCTGATCCCTCGGCTTTCTTTTCTGATGCCTCGGCTTCCTTCTCTGATCCATTGGCGTCCTTCTGTGTTTCTCTGGTTTCTCGTGCTCATGCTCTCTTTTTGACACGTTCTCGCCGCCTCTCCCAATGTCGGCCATCTACACGGGAAGCTCTCCTACGTCCTACGTATCTTCTCCTTCCTCTCACGACGTTGCCCTGTCCATTCCCTTGACCAGTATAATGTAGGTCAAGGAAATGGAAATAGGTAATACAGTCAGAGTCTCCATCCCTGTGCAGACCGTGTTACGAGTTAGTTAGATTGGATGAATAAGAACCGTCTCTCGTGGATGAGTGAGTGTCACATTTGTTCGTGTGAGTCAATGATTTAATAAGAGTCTACTTTCGTCTCTGCTTCCAGTGCCAGAGATAGAGTATTCGGCCGAAGCCAAGAGGCTGGGATACCCTAAGGAGCACAAACACAAACTCTGCTGCCTGCGACAGGAACTAGTCGACGCATTCGTCGAGTGAGTGTTGCCGTGGTAACGGCCACGTCGGAATATTATTTTTTGTTTATTTTTGAGACGCTTAGTAGAGTTTAATTTTTAAGTTAATTGGTTGATGATCTATTGCATTCGTGTGCCGTGCTGTTCTGCTGCACATGATATTCCTTTGATGCCTGAGTTTCTGGTGTTGTTCTTGCAGTGCACGATACCTTTTGTTCCTGAAGCATGCTGCCTACCATCTACAGCAGCTGCGAGCAAAACGACAAGAGAAGGTCAGTAAAGGGAAGATGAGAGAGGTGAAGGGTGGAGGGGTTAGGGAGCGGGCGTGCTGAAATCAAAGCAACCGAGAGGGAGGAGAAACTTACCGGATTGTAACCGATTGGCAGTTTTGTGTATAAAGAAGCACAGGGGACATTTGTGGATCCTTGTAGTAGTAGTTGACATAGAAGTAATAGCGGTAGTAGTGGTGGTGGTGGTGGTGGTGGTGGTAGCGGGAGCAGTAGCAGCAATCTTCAACAGTCTCTATCACCGTAAAACGTGACATCGCGACAGTGAATGTTGTGATACTTGGTCGAATGGGAGTCATCACTTCCCTATCTTGCGTTCTTAGGAGGGAAGCCAGCCGAAGGAAGACAAAGCAAAGGAAGAGGAGAAAGCGGAGGAGAAGGAGCCGACGAAGACTGCCGAGGAGGAGGAAGGAGGAGAAGCAGAGAAACCCATCGTCGAACCCAATGTGATATGCAACGGCCACGGCACCGAAACCAAAGACAAGGACCTCGACGGTGTCCTGTGTAACGGCCACCAGCCCGCCGCCGCTGCTGCCGCCGCGGAGAGCAAGAGCGACGAACCCCTGGTGACGGACGAGGATAAGAAGATGGTGGAGGCCGTCGTCGAGTCGGCCAGTCAGGATTCACGTGAGTGGTCGCCGCCTGGGTCGTCGACGGCATCGCGCGACCTTCGTGGGTTGTCGGGTCATCCCCAGAAAATTCCTCGCACGCACGAACACGCACGCACGCACGTACACGCACGAGCGCGCACGAACACGCATGAACACGCACGCACGCACGCACAGCAACGAAGCTCATCTGTCATGTGGCTGTAAGAACGTGTTTGTTTCGGACGGATCCGTCCGGTCCGGATCGCTCTCATTCTAATCTCCCCAAAGGGAGCATTCCTTAAACGAGTGACCTGTCAATAGCGACACCCGTTCCAATCGGCACCATTTCGGTCGTCCTTGGAAGATCGCAGCATCACTAACGTTGGCATCACTGGTTTCTGCCGCGTGAGAGTATACTTGTTTGCGAGCCTACGTCACAAACGTTGGCATCACTGATTTTTGGTCAGTAAGCTTCTGGTTTCGCGCCATGCGTTTCTGACTGTCGTTTGTTCGTCTTCGTTTCTAGTGGAGGACAACACTAAGGAGATAGTGAGGAAGGCTGCGGAGGCGGTCGGCTCGCTCAAGGACACCGAGTTTGACATCCGCTTTAATCCGGACGTGTTCTCGCCGGGAATACGCTTTGTGGACGATGACGTACGTGTTAGCTGTCACCTTACATGTCATGTGAGGTGACACCACATTAGTTGTCACATTACATGTCATGTGAGGTGACACCACATTAGTTGTCACATTACATGTCATGTGAGATGACACCATATTAGCTGTCACCGTGTTAGTTGTCATGTCAGCTGTCACATCAGTTGACACATTAGCTGTCACTGTGTTAGCTGTTGTGTCAACTTTCACAATAGCTGTCACTCCATTCAGTGGTAAATCATTTGTCACATCGACTGCTACATTGGCTGTCACGGCTGTCATATTATTTGTCACGGCTGACATATTATTTGTCACGGCTGACATATTATTTGGCTGACGGTGCTACACGTGTGAAATCTCCCGCCTTACGTTTAGTCACTTTTTTCTCCAGCAGGGGGAGCTGAAGAAGGAGCAGAACCTCGTGAAGGAGGCGTCAGAGTTTCTCATCACGCATCAGATCCCGAGTCTCGTGCGCTACTGCCTCGAGCACACGTCCTCACCCATCGACGGAGAAACACTCTCCGACTTCATGCAGATAAGGTCGGCATAAGGAAGGGCAGGGTGGAGGTTGAGGGGTTGGGTTAGTAGTCATTAACATTTTTTGCCATGTATGATTCGCAAAAGTTCTCTGTGTAGCACTTTACTAATGTATTGTATGACTACTATTCATGTCTCGTATTGCAGGGGCATCAACATGAGGTACCTCGGCAAAATCGCGGACATGCTGGCGAAGATATCGCAGCTGGAGTATGTTTATGTACGTATGCCGATGACGAGTGGTCAATGTTGCGAGTCATGCAGACCATGTAAGCTCTAGCGTTAACAGTTGCATCCCACGTTTAAACACACATTACATATAAGCTCTAGCGTTAACAGTTGCATCCCACGTTTAAACACACATTACATTTATGCCTCTGCTTTTCGTAAAACACTGTGTTGCCAGTTGTACACAGTTATTGTATGCCTATTTTGATGCACTCAAATCATTACGTGCAATTGCTCGTATTTTCCGCTTCTCTCCTGCAATTTGCTACTGCCAAATATACTACAATGTTGCTTTGCCACTGTCAAATCGTGTGTCGCTGACCTAACTCGTGCGTTTTCCCTCCCCGGCAGACGATAGCCGTGTGTGAGATGCTGTCGCGGTCGGTCAAGCACGTCTTCAAGGTGTACATGCAGGGAGTGGAGCAGATGAGCCTAGCCGGCGCCGTCAGCCACTTCATCAACTGCTTCCTCGGATCGTACGCCGCGCCGCATGCGTCGCGCCTATGATCTGCAGACACAAGCACTGCGCATGCTCAGCAAAAAAGCGCAACATCGCGCGCAACAAGCACACGACGTTCGTCAGCAACGGTACGGGGGAGGGAACGAAGGCGGAGGGGGAGGGGGAGGGAACGGCGGCGGAGGGGGAGGGAGCGGCGATGGCGGAGTCCATGTGTCTATGTGATTGACGCGCGCGCTCGATTTGTATTCTCGTGTCTCGTGTCTCGTGTCTCGTGTCTCTCTCTCTCTCTCTCTCTCTCTCTCTCTCTTACTAAGTTTACATCTGTGGAGTCGCTCTCTCCCTTCGCTTCACTCGGTCCGTGTGCGCGCGCATGGGGGGTGGGATACTCGATGCTGAGCGCACCCTCCCGCACGTTACCGTGGCGCGTTGGGTGCTATGCGCATCGTAGATCGATTATTTCTGGCAGGTTGATGTCAGTGTCCGATCGCGTGGCGTGGCGCTTGTCATCTGCCAGATACAGAAACACGTTCATATTCTTTATATAGATATAATTTAAATCTGATTGTGCTAGTGAAGTTGGCACAGATTCACTAAGCAAACCACATTGGCGACAAGCAATATGTTACTGAATGTTCGTTTACGTCGCACGTTCTCTCTCTCCCCATGCAGCACTCACGTTCCAATCCTGTCCATTCTCCCTCTCTCTCCCAGCCACAGCTCTCCCTTTCTCACTGACAAATTTGTAACGCGTGTTCTTTCTCTCTTTCACCCGTACAGCTCTTCCTTTGTTACTGACTTCTCTGAATCAAACTCATGTTTAATATGTGTTGTCTGCTCGGAGTCGCGTGTCAGTATCTGTGTGGCCTGTGTCGTTGCAGACAACACAGAGTGGGTGCACTACACGCCCAAGACGCTGTGGCAGCAGATCGTTGGAGAGGTGGAGAGCTACTTTGACTTCAGCCTCGGCTGCGACAACATTGATGCAGCCATCGAGAAGTATTCAATGCAAAAGGTGAGATGGCGAGAATGTGTTGGTGTTCGTGCGTGTAATTCTGTATAGATTAATGATCTCAGTGTGTGTGTGTGTGTGCTGTAGCTGTGCATATTAAATATACACATTAAACATTACATATTATACATATACATATTAAACATTACATATTATTACATATTAAATATTAAGTGCTTATTGCCTCAACGTTCATATTATCGAGGGCTGTGGTAGCGTTAGCTACATTTTTTATTACTTTGTTGTTATTTCTTGTAGTAAAATTAATGTATAATATAATAATAAAATAATGTATAGTAATATTTTGTCGTTATATTAGTCGATACACACTGTAGTCTGTAAAGTCTCACACACTTTGTTTCTATCGCTCGTTTTTTTCCATGAGAGACATGTCATAATCTTCGTTTTATTTAACTGCGATGGCTTCTAGGTTTCGCTGCTGCACTCGTTCTGCGTGAAGTGTGGCGTGCAGATCCTACTGCGGGAGTTCAACATGGACAGCAAGCACAAGCAGGCGTTCGGCGAGGACGACATCGTCAACCTGTTCCCGATAGTCAAGCATGTGCAGCCGAAGGTAGGAACGAGACACATCTGCCACGGGCTGAGCAGGTCAGAGCTGACCATTGGTAGCCGGGCCTGCTGGTGGTCGTGTGAACGTCGTCAACTGTGGTTACACTGCAAGCTAGTGGCTGGTATAACATGTAACATGATGTACTAGTGGCCCTGTAGAGACAGTCTGCACGGTTTCCACATCTATGACAATGGCTTCATTGTGGGCACTGACGGTGGATTTACGTCCGTGTAAACCGCAGCCAGTATCTCCTTTTCCATCTTCCCTCTCTTCCACGTCACAGGCGACGATGCTACCTTCCACAGCACAAGCTGATCTCGCTCACTCTATCTCACTCACTCTATCTTACTCACTCTATCTCACTCACTCTATCTCACTCACTCTCTCCACACAGGCGACGGACGCTCATGACTTCTACAACACGAGCTAATCTCGTTCCCTCCTCACTCACTCTATCTCACTGACTCTCTTACTCTCACTCTCTTACTCTCACTCTCTTACTCTCACTCACTCTCTTACTCTCACTCTCTTCACACAGGCGACGGACGCTCACGACTTCTACAACACGGGGCAGGCTAAGATCCAGCAAGGCTTCCTGAAGGAAGGATATGAGCTGATCTCGGAGGCACTCAACCTGCTGAACAACGTCTACGGGGCGATGCACCCAGAGATCTGCACGTGCCTGCGCCTGCTCGCCCGCCTCAACTACATCATGGGCGACTACCCCGAGGCGTTGGCACAGCAGCAGAAGGCTGTGCTGATGAGCGAGAGAGTGCTGGGGGTGGACCATCCGAACACTATCACCGAATACGTGAGTGAGAGAGAGGCGCAGAGAGTCCCCTGGAAGGAAGTGCGAGAGGGGGATCCTCTGTGGTGGGGAAAGAGAGTAAAGCTGAAGATTTTTGAGGGGAATCTACCTTGTGGGAGACGCTTAAAATTGAATTGTTCCCAGAGTGATATGAATTACTTTCAGTATAGACGTTTTGATGAGACGAGGCTGCAGTGTGCACGCACTGCTGGTCGAGTCTGACCGCGTGCGCCACTTGCTTTCCACAGACACATTTGGCGCAGTATTGCTTCGCCAACTCTCACATATCAACGGCGCTGAAGTTGCTCTACAGAGCGCGCTACCTGGCGCTACTACTGCACGGGGAGAACCACCCGGAGATCGCACTGCTAGACGTAAGTGCTGCCATCTAGTGTGTCCATTAAGTAACGTCTAAATTAGAACTGTTACTTAATAGAATAAATAAATTAAAGTTGTGTAACGTTGCGAAGTGGAATGCGTGTGGGCAGTCTTGTGTTCCTGGACGTGCGTACATTTCTTCAACATGGTAATTGTAATCTTCCTAATTTCTTTCTTCTAATTGTTTGTCTTGTAGAGCAACATTGGCTTGATACTGCATGCGGTGGGCGAGCATGACCTGGCATTGAGGTTCCTCGAGAAATCTCTGCAACTGAACACAAAGTGAGTATAGCTGCTGTCATTACTAATATTACGACTAAAGTGACTCTAAAGTTGACGCGGAAATAGCAGTGTCACGAATCTGACAATGAGAGGTTTTGGCTTTTCGCTGGTTGTTTATTGGTGGATGTTCGGTTTAGCCGATGTTTTCATTGTTTGGTCGAGTGTTTCGTTAAGTTTGGCTGGGTGTTGATCGGATGTGTGAGATGTTAAGTTTGGCTGGGTGTTGATCGGATGTGTGAGATGTTAAGTTTGGCTGGGTGTTGATTGACTCGGATGTGTGAGATGTATTAAGTTTTGGACTGCGGTGTGACGGCATGTAGTGAGATGATTGAGTTTGGTGGGTGTTGATCGGATGTGTGAGATGTTCAAGTTTGGCTGGTGTTGATCGGATGTTGTGAGATGTTAAGGTTTTTAGGCTGCGGTGTTGAGATCGGGATGATGTGAAGATGTTAGTTTTGGCTGGTGCTTGATCGGCAACCAGACGCTAAGCACGCTCACGCACAACGCCGAGATGTGTGAGATGTTAACTTTGGCCTGAGCGTGATTTGATCGCGATGTGTGAGATGTTAAGTTTGGCTGACGGTGGTGGATCGGAGTGGCTGTGACGATAGTTAAGTTTGAGCTGAGGTGTTGACGGAATCGGGTGTGTGAGGATGAAGTTTGGTGTGGGTGATGATCGGATGTGTGAGATGCTTAAACGTAAGTTTTCTGGACTGGCAGGTGATTTGATCGGATGTGGTGAGGATGCCTTAAGTTTTCGGCTGGATGTTGAACCCGATCGGGCATGTGTGAGATGTTAAGTTTGGCCTGCGCCTAGGGTTGCGAGTTCGGTATAAGTTGTGACGATGATTGAAACGTCTTTGACGCTCGAAAAACCGCCACCAAAACCTGGTGTGACACTCGGATGTGTGAGATGTCTTAAGTTTAGGCTGGCCAACGAACACCGAACCGAAACGACCGTGCAACTCTGGAAGTCCCAGACGATGTCGTGAGATAGAAAGACACGTAAAAAAAAAAAAAACAAAATAAGAAATATAAGTATATGCTGAATTAACGGGGTGTTGACGTCGGTTTTGTGTATTATGCTTCTTCTGGGGATATGTGATAGAGATTCAGTAATGGTTGGCTGGTAGGGTAGAAGTGATCGGATGACCTTTGTGGTGATGATGTTAAGTTTAAAGCTGTTAAAATTTTGGGCTGTTGTTGATCGGATGCTTGGGCTGTGAGAAATGATTAAGCTGGTTGTGTGTAGGCTTGCCTGCAGCGTATTATGAATGCGTGGAATTAGCGCACATGGGAAAGCGTGGCAATCAGCTACCACCTGCGGTTAATACACAACTAATTTGAAGATTTAGGCAAGCCGAGCGTCAGTGCGCTGCCGCGGTTTGAGACTTAACCGCGGAAAGACCATCTTCAGAGCGAGAGATGAGGACGTGATTTTGGCATGGTTACTACAAGAGCACAGGTAAATTTTTATGAACGACTGATAATAGTCGCAGAACTCTAGATGATTTTGGGCCTTTGCTGACGAGTGGACGTGGGCTGTGATGTGTGTGGGCAGTGGGCAGTAAGCGACGACTGCGTGTGGGCAGTGCGAATTGAAACAGTAGCGCAAACTTCAGGGTAGAGGAGAATGCATGTAAGAATAAGTGCTTGTGGTTGGATGTAACTATAATCACTAGCCATAAATTTACCATGCTTATGGCAATATCTGAATATGTGGTAGTTATGTCACGTGAGTGAGGATTAGCAAAAGTGAGGTGTGTGTTTGTGCACTAGTGGTAGTGTGGGTGGCGAGATTGAGCATAGTGCGATACTGTTGTGGCGGCGTGACGTGACAGCGGAGCAGTGCGTGCGGTTTGCCCAGCGTGCCACGGTTTTTTTTGAAGAGGACATGGAAATGAAAGATTTTTGAAATTTTGAAAATTGAAAGGATAGGAAATGGGGAAAGAGACGTTGAGAGTGGGGGGAAGGCGTACTCTGGTAGATAGACAATGATATTGCGTTGGTAGAGCCTGCGATTTAGTGAGGAGGAAAAAAGTCAAAGATGTGAATGCGTGCGTCTGTCTGTCTGCGTGCTGTGACGTAGGCCGTCTGTGGTCTGTGTGAAAACAGTGCCGGGATGAAGCGGTGGCAGTGTATGTGATTATGTGTGCGTGGTGCAAAGTGGCGAGTAGCGTGAACGCGGAAGGGACGGGACGGGAAAGGGATGGGGAAGGAGGAAGAAGAATGGTCGGGAAAGGGAGCGCGGTGAAGGAAGAATCGAGGGGGAGAAAAGGGCGATAAAGATAGACGTGCGTCGCAGTGCTGTGCGTAGCGTAGACGTGCGTCTGTCGGTGTGCGTGTGTGCGTGCGTACGCTCGTTAGCCGGTCTGTAGTGCGTGCGTGGCTGTGCGCTGCGTCTGTCTGTGTGCGTGGCGAGTTGCGTGATCTGTGTGCGTGCGGGTGGGGGCGTGCGTGCGTGCGGAAGGTAATTGCTGTAAAGCGGCTGCGTAAGGGACCGTGGGACGAGGTGATGCGTGCGGGGTCTGGCGTGCGATGCGTCTGTGTGCGTGCGGTGCGCGCCTGCGGCGAGTGCGTGCTGTGCGTCTGCAGTCATGCGTGCCGTGCGTGCGTGCGTGCGTGTATGTCTCGTGAACATCGACATTCTCGGCATGATCTGCTCAGCCTCCACTTCTGCACACTGAAGCCACGTTGTTGTTGTTGTTGTTGTTGTTGTTGTTGTTGTTGTTGTTGTTGTTCTGCACACTGAAGCCACATTGTTGTTGTTGTTGCGCGCACAGCTGGGAGAGGAACACGACAAGACGAGGGAGAGCTCCGACTGTCTGAGGCATCTCACGCAGCAGGCCGTCGTGCTGCAGAAGAAGATGAATGAGATCTACAAGGGAGGCGCCCTCAACCAGTTCCCACCGCTGCAGGCGAGTCCAATGTAGTGTCTAGTAACTGTAGTAACCGTAGCAACGGTATCGGTGTCATTGCTAAATCCAATATAGCATTTAGTAACCATAGTAACAGCTTCGGTGTCGTTGCTGAGTCCAGCATAACATTTAATAAGTCTAGTAACCCTTGTAACGGTGTCTGTGTCGTTTGCCGTCAGCGGCTTGGCGTGAGCAGGCGTGAGGAAAGCTGACGGTGAGTGACTGTCGTTTGCGTTTTATCCAGGTGTCGTCTCCGACGATGGCCGGAGTCTTGGACCTGCTCAACATCATCAACGGCATCCTGTTTGTACAGTTCAGGTGAGTCAGTGTCGCGGAGCGTCACTCACGTTTATCTCTTCGGTCGGTGTGGGTTCAGGAGGTTTTCACGTTCACGTGCGTGTGGCGCCATTGTCGCTCGCCTAATACCGTTTACGTATGCGGAGCACGGGCAATTCACTGCCTATATTTTATTCTCCGTATTGTGTTTTTACGTTTTTTACGACCGGGGCCAAGACATGTGAATTTGCTGCCGCGTCACTCGCGTTTCTGTTCAGGTGGTTTTCCCGGATTCACACGCGTTACCTGCGCACACACGCATGGCGCTGTCGTCCCCTTACTATCGCTTGATACTGTTCACGTACGCGGCGCGCGGGCGATTCACCGGCTAGATTAATCACCGTATCGCTCTTTGTTTCATTTTGTTTTTTCCGAGCGGGGACGAGACGTTCGCACGTGTCGCTCACACGCCGATTATTGCGTTTTTGCAGCCAAAAGGACATCGAACTATTCCGCCGCGAGCTCGACCGCCGCCAGGGCGGCGACACCGAGCTCGAGGCCGTGGAGGAGAAAGCCGCCGACCCGGCGATGGCAGACGACGCGGTCAAGGTCAAGGTCGGCGACCATGTCGAGAATGGCGTTGCCGCGGAGACGGCGGCAGCGGAGGAGGTAGTGCGGCAGCCGGTGGTGGAGGAGATGGCTAGCAGATAACGACGGCGTGCCTGCTAGTGAGTGAGCGAGAGGAAGGAAGAGAGAGCGCGACATGTCGGCTAGGTGAAGATTAAGAATCAGAAGCAGCAGGAAGACACCCAACAGCTAGTTGAAGAAGAAGAGGATGAAATAGATGAGGGAGGAAGAGGAGGAGGGGCAGCAGCAGCAGCAGTAGTAGGACGGCTAGGTTTTACGACGGACACGCGTGCAGACACGACGGGGACTACGGCTTAGAGGGGTGTATGTGAGTCGCCCATGCTGTATCGCTGGCTACCCTCGGCATGCACGCAGCAACAGATATAACAGAGCAGCAACAGAGCACGGACACAAGATAAACACGGACAGAATGATGGCGGAGCAGTTTTGCGCATCCCGCATCATTATTAAAAACGCCAGAGAGAAGACGACATAAACAAGTACAGAGAGGTAGAGAGGGACAGATAGACTGACGGAGAGAGAGAGAGAGAGAGAGAGAGAGACGTGGCGTCGCAGCGTCACCATAGAGCTGTCGCCGTGGCGACCGTGACGGCGACCGTGTCCCGTTTTTTTTACTCGACGCCATTACGGAGGTTTTCGTCGCAAGCGAGAAGGTTGACTGTTCTTTTGCTCGCCAACGCGCGCGCGACACATGTGGCGACATTGCACAGCGGTGCCCCCTGGCGGGCAACGTCACGTGCGTCAAGTTTCGTCGCTGGTCGCTTGTTTAGGCGTGTCATTAGGCGGGCGACGGAAGCGCCCGAACACGCGCACAACCATTAATTTTAGACAGGGTCAGCAGTAGTGTATAGATTTATGTAGGTGTAGGTGATCAGTTCACGGGCAGTGGCAGCGGCTGCAGCATCAAGAGGACACGCTCGGAGTGTGGCAGCAGCATCCACACACAGTCTCACACAAACCTCTATGTGATTTCACTCGCAACACATATCCTCGGGCGGCGGAGGCGGTGGCCGTGTCGCCATGGCGACGTCCGTCGTGCGCGCGTTTGCACCATTCACCGCGAAGGTGGGTCGGGTCACGGAGGAGCCGCGTTGCTCCACCCCACCGCCCCACGCAGCTTTTGTTATGGCGTGTGTTCCAAGGAGACTGCAGGCTGCTTCTGTGGTGTGATGCGATCGACTCACGGCTGAAGCTCGTCCATGCTGCGAGTCACAACACTCTACCAGTCTTTCGGTGAAAGTTTCGTCGCGCTACGTCGCGGCACGCGCGCGTTACTACTTAGCGCTGAATGAATTCGATTGACGTGTGCATGCGCCACACTAGAGTGTAGCTAACCACCCTCCCCCCCCCCCCCCACCCCCCGCCATTCACGCGCTAGAGAGCCGTGGATGTAGTCACGCGAAACCCAGTGCATGCTCCAAACACGTTGTGATAAGCGAATAGGTGCACGAATGAAACGTCAGTTGTCGTTTGTCGTTTGTTGTTGTTGTTGTTGTTGCTGTTGATGTTTTCATTTCTTTTGTTAGTTGTAGCTTAAATTACTAGCACTTTCATGCGTGGAAATCAAACGGCTGATGATTTGGTGCGTGTGCAGCAGACGATAGCTTGGCAGGGGTATACTAGCGGTAGGCGATATTCGAGTGTGTCCGACACTAACTAACGCCCTGTGTGGTATTCACTGCACATTTGCTGCATGGGGTCTCTAAGGTTGCCGACTCGTCACTGGACATGTCACTTGAGGTAGTGCATCGTAACTCCAAGGTGCTAACTGACGTTGCCTCCTGTTTTTTGGCCCGGTGCTGTCCAGGAGGTTCCAGGTGTTGCCTCTCGCGGCGTCCGGATTTTGAACTCGACGAGTCAAATTGACATGATGTAGAATATATACGAGCGCGGCCGTGTAAGTTTTAGATATAGCGTGTAATAAGTAGTTGATCTCATGTGTTGTTGGGTGGTGTTTTTATTACTATATGCTCATTAGACCCATCTTTGATTTGTATAGGTTTAAGACTAGGCCATTCCAGTGTAGATTTGAACGTGTTGTAGATATAAGTCGGTCAGTCAGTCGGTCCGGTCCGTCAGTCAGTAAAGTGTGCAAAGCTGGTCATCGAATGTTCTATTGTTTGTCGTCGTGTGTGTTAATCGCCGGTAGTATTGCGTTCTTTTTAGACGTGCGACGTGTGAGGCTGCAGCTTGCTAGGGTGGTGAGTACGTAGCAGGGGGAAATTACTAACAGCTGGAGGGTTAGAACTACAGCTGGGAATAACCATCACTAATCTCACCCCAGCGCGACAGTTGACACTGACGCTTGTTCGTCTGCGACAGACGACGACGCTAGCTGTGTGCGTGACTGGGTGACACTAATCGTGCTCATGTAACAGTTCACACTAGTTGTGCCACGTGTGTGACAGTTGACACTAGCTGTGTGACAGTTGACATTAGCTGTGTGACAGTTAACGTCAGCTGCGTGCCAGTTCTATAGAATTGTTGAGTATCTAATTGTTCAGTTAACTTTAACTGTGTGACAGTTAACATAATTAGCTATGAGTGGGAGAGTTGAAATTAGCTACGCGGCTAGCTATGGCCCTAGTTACATGAGAATGTTTACATTAGCTACGCGGCTAGCTATGGTCCTAGTTACATGAGAATGTTTACATTAGCTACGCGGCTAGCTATGGTCCACGGCTGACAGTAGTCATTATATTTTCTTGACGCACGTAAAAGAAAAAGCCGTGTGTGTTATTTTGCTCTATTGTGTCATTTTGTTGCTGCTATGATTCGCTGTAGCCAGTATTAAGTTAGTACTTGTCCAACGAATGCATTTCTTGAAACAGGAAATGGCGGATAAAGCCAGTTCCTTTCTCGTTTTCTAAGAAAACTATTTAATTGTAAATAAAGTACCACTGTTAAGGTTTCTCTCCTCGTTATTTGCACCAAAGTGCATGTCCGCTTGATTGGTATTTTGATGCGAAACGAGAGACAAAACAAGGCGAAAGTGAAATAAAAGATAACATATGCGATGACAAAAATCGTATATTAAACACGGAGCGCGACGCCACACGCACGGCACGCACGGACGCACCGCACAGACGCTCGCACACACTGCACGCACGCACTGTACCGCACGCACACACACACGCACTACGCACAGACGCAACGCACGCACACACACGCACACACACACACGTGTGACACGGCGTCTAACCACCGCGTACAATAGCTCGCACAGCTTGCAGAGCTTTGCTTGTATTCCATTCTGGGTAATAAGCTCACTAAGCCTGGACCTATCGCGGCTGCTGGCGATATATATTACATACTGGGCTAGGAATATGCTGCTCGGGGTGGTTGAGTATGCCAAGAGCCTATCGACCTCAAGCTCTCGTTAGCGCGTTTATAGTGGGCAGCGTCGACATTATTAAATTTTGAAAATCAAGGGGCCAAGCAAGCCATTTAACAGCATGCGTTCTTAATTATCAGGACCTATAATCAGCTTTAATAATTACGTTCGGCGCCCGTGGCTGGCTTAACTTCATCACTAAATCTGACGTCACACAGAAATTCTCGTAGCCAGCAAGTGTCTGTTAACTTGATAATTAAATCTGAATCCACCGCAGCAATTAAACACAAGGATCAGACATCCAGTCACCTATAGGCCTAACTCACTCATAATAAGCAGCAGGTTAATTTCACTCTTACACATGAAGCAAAACACGCAATTGGACAACAATGTTGTTAATTAATGAATACTTCTAATCACACCTTGACTACACTCTCGTAGTGAGTAACTGGTTAATTTTACTATTAACGGAAAGCAAAACAGCGTTTAACAAACATTTCTGTAATTTTATATCACAAAGCAATCATTGAGATCTTCTTGAGATTAGCTGGTTGCGACTATATGCATCTGAGAAATTATCAAGGTTAAACGGCTCTTTATTGACATACCTGATTTAAGTACGTCACATCAAAGGTTCAACAGAGATCAAGAAATCAAGGTCACTACGTCAACGTTAAGATTCAAGTCGACGTAGAGCAGAACATTGAAGAGTAAATCGAAAATAAAACACACCAAAACCAGAAATTTTAGTCCTGAGTCGTTTTATTTAATGGTATTCTAAACTGCTTACACTCACGATGATACAAATATCCTACGCGTACTTGAGTCACATCTCCTGCCGTCCTCCTTCCACGACCTCCGTCGGGGAATAGCGTGTCAACAATAACCTCAAAACACGAAAATGGTAGATAAACAGTCACGACTGAAATCATGAAAAATTCCCACTAGACGTCCTCTGCCCCGTGTAACGACTATAACAGGACACGGACTGCGCACACATCATGCAAAGCACGCCTTCATCACCTGTTACCTAAAGTAGATCACAATAGTAAATACTATAATGCATGATATTGCAATAAATTTTATTTCGCTGCATAACAGCGACATTATAAAAATTGCAACGAATATGAAAAACGTTTCGAGTGCCGCCGTCGCAATGTCAGACATTCTCACATGTAACTAGGGCCATAGCTAGGCCCCGCTAGCTAATGTAAACCGATTCCTCACTGTAACTA